TTTTAAAAAAAAAGGTATCAAGCTCTTAAAAAATCACCCGTTAGCTTTGTATTGTCTTGAGAAGTCAAAATATGAAATTTTGTAGAGATAGGATTTCAGACACGTTCGCCGCATAAAAAATTTTTGAGAAAAAGTGATACAAAAAATCGTAATAAAAATTTTTACCACAGAATTTAAAAAAGCTTCTAAAAGTCATAACACTGTGAAAAGCTTGGGGTTACATCAGAGTTGTCACATAAGCAATCTGTTAAATGAGCATAGCAGAGCAAAGTATGCATAATTGAGCTATTAGCCTATTGAAACTTGCACTTTACTTATTACTAGAATTTAATGAGAAGGACTTGGCTTCACTTGGCGTTTCCAATGGGTGTCAGTTGGCACAGAAAATCGACGACTGGAGTGCTTTGTTGAAGTCGGCCAAATCGCTTAGGCGGTCTACTCTCAAAGTCTTGTAAGTCCTTTGGTGTAGGGTTATAATTTGTTTAAAAAACCTAAGGTAAATTCTCCCTTGCCCATATGATTAGCATGTGCTATGACATAGTATTTCGCATTTTCTGACGAACGTGTAATTTTGAAATTTTTTTAAATTTGTTTTTATTAGACTTTTGAAAAAAAAAACGTACCTCTAATAATAACGCCACATCAAAGCCTTTATCAAGAAAATAACGGTATTGAATAAAAAATGCTTGCTTAGCACGCAACCTTCGACCTTTAGCAGTAGAAGTGGTAAACACTTAGCAAGGTCGAAAGACTAGCGATTCAAAGCAAATACAAAGTTGCGAAAATGTATTCGATTTCGAATTGTATTTGTATTCACGTAGGGTTCAAGAACGTAAAGCAAATTTTATCGCAATTGTGTGAATTCTTGACTAAAGGCCAGAAGGCTGGCATGCAAAACCATTATTGCTGGTATGTACAAACATACCCTGTAGGCAAACCTCGAACTGGTGGATCAAATAGAAACAAGATCGCCACCAGTTTAAAAGCAGCGAAATGTGTTAATTTAAAAAAAAAATAATAATTTTATTTTTATACATCTACATATATCTAAAATGGCGAATTTAGAACTTGTTTTAGCCTTTTAAAATTTTGGGACCTTCTGGAATCTAACCAATAACAGCAAGCACCTCTGCAAATTCAGCTACAGCCAAAGGTATGTAAACGTGTTTTAAAATCAGTTTAATTAACATTAATTAAAAAAAATTTGATTTCAGATTGAAAACACATTTCTTTGCAAATAATTAAAAATCGCTACCATGGTAAAACCATAAAGACTGTTTGAAATATTTGAAATGTTTGAAAACTTAATGTTCCTTCCATCTGTAGAATTTAGAACTGTTAACGAACTATAGAAAGGTAATGCAGCGGGGGACGATTTCCAATTCCTATGACATCGCCGTGTTAAATTCGCCAGTTGTTTGCATGCAAAGGAGATTTATCGCGAACGAGTAGTGGGTCTAAATGCACTAGAAGCGCACCATTTCACAGCTAGAGATATTCTCTACAGGGTATGCATACCCAACAAACACTGGCACACAAATTTCCAAA